GTTGGTATCTTTTTTAATATTATTTCAGGTTTTCAATTTTTGATATCGCGTAGGTGGATTTTGTTGAGTATTCCTGGTTTATTAGTTTTGATTGGTATGCTTTACTTGTTCTGTAAGGCTTTCTTTTTAGTTTTTTATTTGATGTCTTAAATGCTTCATTATTATATTATTTTAATTAAATTCAAATTTTAACAAATATAATAAGTATTATGAATTATTTGTTTTGCTTCATTTGATGATGATAATTTTTGAAGTGTTATTTGATTTTATTAGTTTTGAATAATATAATTTTTTGAAAAATGATGAAATGCTGTGAAATTTTTATATAATTGATTTTATGATATGTATTTTATTTTATGATATGTATGTTTTGAAACTTAGGATGTTTTTATAATAATGTTTTTGTGTTGCCGACTGTGAACTAAAAATTTAGGTCATGACACAAGGCTTGGGTCGTTAGTTGATAGGACCTACCCGGGCTGATCTGAAATTTATTTTTTAAATAATTAAAACAATATTGTTTTGTTTAAAAATATTTTTAAAAAAAAAATCAACTAATTAAGAGTTAGGTTTCAATAAAGTTAATTATACCCTGAATCACATATTAACATGGGTTTTTTACCTAGCATAACTAGATCACTCATTTTATTTTTTTTAATCTAGATTTATTCAAGATACAAGTTGGCCTGCCAATCCAATCCAAATTAGCTAGGGTCTTCCATGTCATATGCAGGGACGTGCAAGATTTCTAATAGAAATTAATGTATGCTACAACATTTCTTGATCTGAGGTGACAGGTTATTAATATGATTAATGTCATCATGTGACTTGAACAAATTAATCAATGGATTAGTTAGATAACCCAAACTATAATTTCTTAAAAAGAAGAAGAAGAAGAAAAGATATTGTTTTTATAAAAAAATTAATTTGAAATAAAACAAACCTAAACTGAACCAAATTCCTGTTCATACATCTCAATTTATACCAGGATTTATAATTATGCATTTATAATTATATTATTTCATTCTAATTGGAACTCGAGGTATATTAAATTCAAACCGCAAGGTCTATCAAGAATTTCAAGATGAAGATTTCCAACTCTTAGGATATGCATTAGTACGTATAAATGTCTTTTATATTCACCTAATGAAGTCAATACAAGGGTTACTTAGTCTGATTTTTCCTAACAGAAAGACAAGCATGTTATATATATATATATATATATATATATATATAATTTAACAACTTCGATAAATTGTGCTATAATTAAATAAATTGTGGAAAGGCAACAATTAGGCCAAGGTCATGCATGTAGTTATTCGAGTTGTGACATCCTTAGCCGACATTGCAATCTGAACGTCTCTTTCCATACCTGCTACAAACAATTTATTACTTACCATTATAGAGTCGATCGACATGTTCATAGATGTAATGTTATCACAGAGAAAAAAAAATAGATTATTTTTTGTTTAGAAAAACATTAAATTAATTTTTTAAGTATTTTTAGATGATTTTAATTAAAAGTAATCATTTTTAGTTTGGTTCGGTTTTTATAAAAAAATAACCAAATTAAATTTTAAAAAAATAAAATAAAAAATGATTCAAATAGACCTGTTTTGGTTTGGTTCAATTAGATTTTTTAGAAAAAAAACTAGTTCAAACTGGTTTGACTTAGTTTTTCTAATTTGATTTGGTTTTCTTGGATTGGCACATTTTTTTCAGTTTTGATTTAGTTCGGTTTATTTTTTTTATTTCAAATTTATAAAACCGAACCATACCAATTGGTTTTTTTTAAAATGTTAATAAGTTTAATAGTTTTTTTCAGGATTTGTTTTTTTAATTATTATTTTTTTAGTTTTCTCAACTTAATTATTTTCTAGTTTTTTTTGCTTGTTTTTATTTTAATATTAAAAATAAAAATATTAATTTGATATATTTTTAAATAATACCTATCAATCATTTGTTGTATGAGTAATTAGTAGTTGGCAAAGTACTAACTGCTTCTTAATTAGGCAGAATATATATATATTAGAAGTGATTCCCTTGCTTATGCCAAGAAGTCACGGGTGTTCGTTCCACTACTTCCTCTTAGGAGATCGAGTAGGCCTTTACTAATATTTAATAAGCTGAAGTGGGGTTTTGCGCAGTTATCTGTGAGGTCTTTCTCTCTCTCTCTCTCTCTATATATATATATAGGGTTTTGTCCTGATGAAATCCAGAACGGTTGAGCTTCGAGGACTTAAGAATGTCGACCCAATGATTGACGGATGTGGCATTGCTAATTCTGAAGATGCTGAACTGGTTGTCGTGTTCCAAAAACATCCCATACGACAACATTAAAAAATGGCTAGGGTTAAGTCTCCTCTGTTAAACTTGTAAGCATGACAAGGTCAAACAAAGTTAAAATGAAAAATGATTAGGAAAGAGACAAATTTAATTATTGTGTTTAGTTTATGGTTCAAGAGCATTTTTTTTATATTGTTTTACTGTGTTAAAATTAAATATAAATTTTAAAAAATAAAAAATATTATTTTAATATATTCTAAAATAAAAAAAATAAAAAACAATTGTTACTACATGTACAACTATGGTTCTAATATCGAAAAAGCTTTCAATAAAACTTTTTGGCTGAACGCTTCTCATAATCTTTTAGATAGTTATAATAAAATTTATCATTGTTATAAATCTGTTGTAACTCAAACTAGTTTGAAGCTCTCTTTTATACGAAAAAGAGTAAAATTTACTATAGCTTCAGCATATTTTCAGTCTCCATATTTGCACTCTAATATATTTTCGTGATTTATGCAGCAAGATACTAGGCAACCCTTCACAGCTTGGCACGGCATGCAATACTATTAGCTAGGGAACAGAAGCAAGGGCGTTTTCTAGACTGTCACCTCTTGGTTCCATCCCCATTGGCAAGTGGTATATGTAAATCATATTAATAAATCAAACAAAGACTCTAATGATCTACTAGTACCATGAGCCAATTTTCACAGGCTTATGTGACCAGTGACCTCTAACTGATGGTCTATAAGAACTGTGATGCTTAACTGACCTATGAGGATTGTGAATCAAGAAAACACTCTTCAACACTTTCATGAACACCACCAAGCCTGGTTTCCTTGCAGAAATGATGGAAGTGCCATTAGGTTTGGACAGTCTTAAGGCTTTAACGCAACCCATATGAACTGCTTCAGAATCCAATCTCGAACTACTATGGCTTCTTGTCAATGTTTCTTCAGTGTTGAAATCCTCCCATAACATGTCCATCTTCTCCTCCTTATCATTTAGACTACCATTTCTTCTCACCAACTCAGATGCAGCGGAGCCCAGCTCCTCTCTTCTTGAAAAGCTCTTCCCTTGTGTTAAGTGCTTGATCGGTTCCATTGGAAAACTATTTTTAAAGGCTTGTTCGTCTTGACCACTCTCTTCTCCTTCTGTGCTGCTTTCTTTTGATGTTTCTTCATGGCAAGGATCAGGAGAGGCCGCAGGAGATAAGCACCATAGAGGTGGGGAATCGATGCTGCATGAGACAGGGTCTGTGAAGATGGGGAAGGTGAAGTCTTCAGTGTCCATAGCTAGGCTGGTGACTTGGGTGGAATGGAAAATGGTATTGGAGAGTGGGAGTTGGGGATTGGGAGTTTGGTATAGGTGGGGTTTTTGGACATATTGGTTCAACTGCTTCAACAAGTTAACGTTTCTGGATCAAGAGTCTAGGTTCCAGGGTCCCACTCAATATAAAGGGTATTTTAGAGTGTGATATTAATTGTTTTTTAAACTATGTTATGTGTAAATCTAGGTTTAAGCTCCATTCGATCTCTGTTTGATGAGACCGGGTGAATTTATACACCTAGTTTAGAATTTTTTTCATGAATGAGAAAATTATATCATTGGCCAATCAAGATGGTTCATCAATGCGAGCCTGAGAGCCTCGTATATGATTATAATTAGAGGAAAAGCTGGTGTATATTTTTATTAGCCTTCATGTAGGCTAGTAGTACGCATAGCATAAATGTAACTGTCTGTCATGAATGCAACATTTGTCCTGCAAATCTTGTGTGTGGCAAGATGATGATGATCATAATGTGTGATACACATAAAATTGTCAAATAATAATTCATAGAATTAAATACAGAGTTGTGTGCCATGTAGCTGAAGAAAGAAAAATAAGAGAGAGAAGAAAGTGGGCTCGTTGGTGGTCAGGCAACTTGCGAGGTCAGGTCGCTAGCAACCCGCGAGGTTGGGTCACTGGGTCAGATGGCTGGCTGGCTGGCCATCCACGCTGGTCGCCCTGGCTTGGGCGACCAAGTTGGTCACCCAAAAGGGGCGACCTCATTGGTCCCCCAAGAATTTGTACTTTTAATTTTTTAACTTTGGCCCATCAACTATGTTGAAAGCATTAGTATAAATTTGTTTATCATTTTTCTAAACTATTCATAATCCTTACAAGTGCTATGAAGAAATCAAAGTTTTGATAAACATAGATTGATAAAAATAGGATTCCAAGCGAAATCTCGCCAGGCAGCTCATGCCTAATAAACATTATGCTGAAATGATTTTTTATTTCTTTCAAGAGTTCTATACAGCTTTAAAGGGCCATCAGTATCTATTAATTTTATGTTGACAAGATTATAGTTGGGTGTTACTCAAGTGTTTTCCAAGGAATAGAAAATAAAAGCAGCGGAAGCATGTCAAGGACATCTCATCTACCGCCGGCTTGATAGCAGGAATTGGCATATTCAAAGCCCATTTGGCAACGCTCGTGGTGCTGACTCAGAGCTTCGAAAGAGATTGCATGGCACCATTCTGTGTTCGGTAAATTTGCATTTCAAATCTGTCACAGCTCCACTAAGCCAGCTAAATACTGTCTTACAGAGTTCACCTGACACAGCAAGCTATACAAAAATAAGAATCCTAGAAGTCTAAAATGAGCAAGTCCAAGTCCACTCTTTAGTGGTTGCATGATAGCAATTGAAAGTTAAATCATGGGTTAATCTAAAGCAACTTGGACAATAATTTATGCGAAACATAGAACTTTCTAATACAAACACTCTGTATCCTGCATATACTAAGCATAAACTTCAATTCTTTGTTGATATGCTCGTTACCCACACTTGAGGTCAACTTGAAGGTCACTATCTAGCATAAATCACATACAAAACAATGTAATGGAAAAGTCATTGCAAGGAACAAGAGGGGAAGAAGTAAACTGCATTTCTTCATAACTTGAAGCTAATATTCAATATGAAGAACAAAATGCTCAAAATTACAAACCCCCATGGAGGGGAAGAAGGAAAGGGGGGAGTTAAATGTCTATACATGGCGGCAGCTGAAAGAGACCCATCTCCTTTTTTTATCTGAGAAAGAAGTCTTGCCATCTTCGCCCATTTTTTACTCAAAGAAAATAATGAACCCGCCCAGTGTGTTGATAATACACAGGTCTGTGGCTGGAATTCCCTTTCTGCCCCAAATCAGCACCCAGGATCTTGAATGACAGTAACAAAAAGAATCAAAGAATACAACTATTTTGGTCCCAGAGTGTCTAATTGTCGTAGAGGGATTCCTTCGGGGTCAAGTCCTTCGTCTTCTTCTTCATGCTTTGGAAGGCGCAATGATAAAGACTGTGATGACCCTATAAATGAAGAACAGTTTATGTGAAGCTACAATCTTGAACTAGAGAAGATGATTGAACAATAGAGGAAATAATGGAAACCCACCTTCAACCATGTCCTTCGTTTCATGAAGAAGAAAAGTCCCAGAAAGGATCGTTACAAATCCACATATTTCAGTGACAATTTGAGATGCGTTCTTTCCATCCCAATCCTGAATTTCAAAAGGCATATAATCAGCATACAGGGCAACAAACATCATAAAAACCCTTAAAAGTTTAATACTTCAGTTACTAGAGCAATACTTATAGGGACTGAAGACTGCATGTAAGAACTAAAATCTTCAGAGAACATCTATCTAGTTTTATTTCACCACGAAATCTCTTTTCCATAGATTATTATTTTCTATCTAAAAGATCGAGAGAAGGAGAGTTCCTAAAAGAAAACAATGAAAAAAAGCACTCATAATTGAGTAACAACAGTTTTAAACTCCTTAGCTGGAGAGAATAACATAAAATCTTTAGAAAATAACCATCTAGTTTTCTTTCAGCTCTACATCTCTTTTCCATAAAAGAGAGAGGGTTTCAAAAAGAAAAGGAACAAAAAAGAAAAAAGAAACTCATAATTTATGTAAGAACAGTATTTTTTAAAAGTCCTCTGCTGGGATAGCATAAAAAATTTCATAATTATACTGCAGCCATTCACCATAAATCAACTCAAAATAGATGGAAAACAAATTGTTTTGTTTGTATTCTGAATACATCAGCACAACCTATTTGTAGCAATGTTTCGTTTTCATTTAAAAAAATGCTCCAGTTTCTACAGTTATCATCACTTAAAGTGGAGCTAACATGAAATCCAAGGATTAGTTCTCCAAAATTCCATCTATCACACAGACACATGCATGCATGCCTATAATTCAACACACGCCACTGGTTAAAAAGTACATTACCTTAAACATGATTACGCTAGCCAAAATTGTTAATGAAGTAAACATCACATAGTATATGGGAGATACGACAGCTGCATTGAATGTATCAAGAGCCTGCAATTCAAAGAGTAACAAATAAATTTATCTACCAAAAGCCATTCATAACCACAAGCCATTGCCCAGTCATCCTCCCACTGAAGCAAGTCCTATGCTGGAAAACTTGAAATATTCCCTCAGAAATTTACATCATCATCATAATAAAAGATCTAGTTTCTACATTAATTTTCACGCAATCAGCATTTCAAGGTAGCATATGTTTATTTTTAAAAATTATATGGGAGCTCCTACGAAATGCATTACCTTGTTTAAGTAATTGATTTGAGTGATTACACAGGCAAGTACAATCAAGGTAAAAGCCCATGTTTGGGGGTATAGTAACTGATTCATTCCCGAGAAAGTCAGCTTCAAAGCAATTCCAAGTGCTTTGACACTCATAACCTGTTATGAGCATTCAGAAAACATAATTTTAACAATAGTGGATTTACACTAGTAAAGATGTGCACACAGTGAATAATAAACAATAACTGACATACCGATAGTGAGCCCATGAGCGAACAAATTGAAATATAGACCATAACATGAGTCTGCCCATAATGGGGTATAACACGGATGATAATCACAACAGCAGCTGTTATGACAATAGCAGCATACAAGAGAAAAGCTGCAGTGGATATCACAGTGAATTACAGCATTATGAGACACTTGAGCCAAAAATATAAGACCATGATAATATTATGTATGTTTTTCGTATAGCATCAAGGACTTGGAAGCCATTTCACTACTTTTTTTATTCCTTGAAGAAATATATACCTGGCTCTGTTGCAAGGTCCCACACTTCCTTCACGGACTCAATCTCACGTTCTTGAGGTGCATGCAAAACAATTGTCGTTGAACCCACAACACAAAGAGCACAACCAAGAATCCCAAAAGTGTGCAACTTTTCCTGTAAAATAGCATGTGCAAGAGCAGCACTGCAAGACAAATGGAAGTTGGCATCATAAAATAATCTAATATATGAAATACATAAGTAAATTTTCTCTTGCCTGATAATGATACTGAGTGCACCAAGAGGAGTGACTAGAATAGCTGGTGCAAATGCATAGGCTGCAAAATTAGCAATTTCCCCAGCAATCACTGCCACAACGACAATTATCCATCTTAGAATGCATACAATGTGATCTGCACTCAAACTTCCAATGCACTTCATAACGTTAAACCAACAGGAGTAACTTGCATATAAAGAGAAAGGGTAAACATCATAAAACAAAAACATGGAGATCCAAACCATCTAAATGGACAAACAACAAAAGAAATAGTGCAAGACATGAAATGAAAGGTTAACACAACTCTTTGAAGGATCTGTGAAAGACTGCACTTTTGGCACATAATGATAGTTTTTAGCTAATCAAAAGAACTTATTGCATTTATATAGACTATCTGTAAAAGCATATGGACTATTTATTTAAATTATCAAAATATATATAAACTATTTATTTTATACCACACAATGTATAGGCAATGGTATAAAAGTAATTTCCTTAATTGCAACAAATTAACAGCCATAGAAAATACGGGCACTTACTTGTTATCATGCCAATCCACCAGAGTGGTTCAAACAGGTAAGTATAACCCCCAGCACCTGCAAACAAAAGGTCCATAAAATTAAGATAGAGTAAAAGCATAAGACTCTATTATCATACATAAATCAAGCCATTAATGCAATCACAAAAAAAAAAATGTTAACAAATTAAGCAAATGCTGAGTATTAAACTCAATAATTCCACATGTCCTGCTCCAACTTCCATGCTCATCAAGCCATTAATGCAATCACATAAATTATAAATTGTTAAAAAGTTAGGTTTTAAATTTTATTTTTTCTTCTTCTATGATGATGAAACACACCATCACTTAATTAGAAATCATATTCCTAAAAAACACCACAATGACCGCAAATCATCCATGGACTAGGCAGTGGAAGCTGAATGGTATTCTTCAAGCCTAAATAAATAATTGTGAAGCTATTTTGTTAAGCCATATGACACCAAACCATTATCTGGAACCAAGATGGTCTACAAAGAAACAAATAAATCTTACACAAACTTCATACAAATTGGCGCAGAAAATGATTGGTGGTGTGATGTATGGTCCTGGAAACACTAAAAGATTGATCAAACATGATAAAGAAACTCTTGCATAAGTTATATGAAGTATTAGTTAAGATCTGTAAGTTTGTATAGCATTACTCTGTTTGGACGTAAATAGCATAAAAGAACGAGACCTATGGTTTACTATCATCAAGATAGTTCTGTAAAGAGCACTCAAATGTACTACTTTAAAACCTACAAAATATACAAACTGAAAATATCTAAACAATTCATAAAGTTGATCTATCAAAAGAAAGATATAGCTTCGGAGAGCTACTTTAACCTTCCAGATACTCTCACATTCCCTCAATCTTCTAGAAAAGAGCAGACTCCCAATGTCCTACAAATATCCAATAATTAGTATATCGTCACCCCTCAACACACTCAAAAAAAATATAGAACATCAATAAAACCGCTGCGAAGTCCAATCCCAATCTTTCACTAACCTTCTAAAACATGGGGCCTAAGCACGGTTACCATGGCCCCTTCTTTCTAGCCCTCAATTGCTACCACCTTTTTTCTCGAAAAGAAGAAGAGTTGCTCATGCTTTTGCACACACCATGCTCCACACAAGAATCCAGACACCTTCTCCAATATGTAAAGCAACAAAGTTAAAGGATATACATCTTTCTCTTGCAAAGCTATTCCACAACTTTATCCCATGAAATCCATCACTATCTTCCCACCTACAAATGCTACCCCTTCAGATATACTATTCTACACCTGAGATGATAAATGTAATGCATCGAATGTCTAAAGTCCTATGGGCCTCAACCAATTAATCCACTACCATAAATCCATCGAAGCTTTTTCAAAATCCCCAAAAAATTTCACCGGGATGAGGGATAAACTTTGGTTTTAGCAATAGTCAGATCAAAAAGTTGAAGAAAATGGACAAACCAAGATGTCTTTGCCAACTTAGTACACATGACGCATACAAGAGTAGCAAGCCAACATAGAATCCGAACAACATGCTGAAAAGAACTTGAAACTGAAACTTTGCAGTTCTAAAATCATACGAAGGTGTAATGAATAATTGCGTGGAACAAACCCTCCAAAATCCATCTCTCCCCTTATAGACATCAAAAGGAATAACAGCACCACACTCCAATTAACCCGGTGTCTTCACTTGCTGGAGCTTAATCTTCCAACTAAAAAGAATCTAAATGGCAATTTTCCAGGCATCAGCTAAGAAACCCCAAATAGTGAAACTAAATCCCATGCCAGCAACCTGGTGCCTGGCGGTGAACTATGATAAACTGATTAGCCATCATTTTTACTCGCGCAAACAACAACGTTTCAATTCAGTGATTCTAACAATACATGTAACCAAACAGAAACAAATTCCATTAAAATATCATCAAGAATTCTATCTATAACTTGGAATGCAACAGTAGACAAAAATTTAACCCACTCTTAAGTTTGACCCGCAAATGAAATCCTCAAGCCACGTGAATTCAACCAATTCCTATCACTATGCTTATAATTCTTGCAATGAAGCACATAAAACGACTTCCACTCAAGACAAAATCCCATTCGAATAAATTCATAACGGACCACCAAAAATCAACCCATTTCACACTCAAACATAAATTAAAAAAGGGCAATCCAAACCAAAAAATTAGCACCAATCCCAACACAAAATCACAATTAAAACAAAACCCACCAAAGCCAACAAATAAACGATGAAAACCCACAAAAATGCAACCCATTCCAAGGCCAAAAACAAAAACCCAGTTGAATAAACAATAAAAAGATTGAAACTTTACCTGCCCTAATACCAGAAGCACCAGCTTTCTTCAACCCTTTTTTCTTAACAATAAAACTGGCTCCTATAAATAAACTCGAAGACAATGCCAACAACAATCCCTTTATGTTATCTGTTGACATTCCTATTTCTGTTTCCGCCATTACTTTACAATCCCTTCACCACCAACACCAAAACGACGACGACGACAACAATGTCTCACCTCAAAACTCACAGTTTCCATTCCACATCATTCATTAAGTCGTATTCTTTATATTAATCTTATCCAAATCGGATTGTATAACGCAAATGTGTATGAAGAATGAGAGAGAAAGGAACACCAAAGAGTATTGGGATTTGTGAGTTTAACGTAGTTAAGATGTTTTTTTATTTGTTTGTAAGATTTAGATCGATCTGATCGGTACAGTTCTTGTTGAACAAGAGACGAAAGCCGAACTTAGTTTTCTTTTATCCCTTTCTTTACTTTTGTTTTCAGCTTCTATCGACCACCCGTGCACGCTTCCTTTAGCGAGACTGAGAGATGGGTAGTAGCCCAGGAGCAACTTCTGGACCACGGAGATCTTTTTCAGGCCTCTAATTTTGTCTTGCTCTCTGGCTCGGGAGACGAGTGCAGCCCCTTAGTTCATTCAATGGGAGAGGGAAAGCAGAATTCACCAATTACAAGAGAACGTGTAAACACTCAAAAAGAGGAAGATTTTAGGGAAGAATCGATCGAAATGAATCTCAGTTTTGGTAATCGAATATATTTTTCACATGTGAATTCAATATTTTATTTATCAATTAAATTTAAATTGAACATTATAATTATTACATTAGAGAATTGATTCTAAACCTTTTGTAAGAAAATGGGGTAGTATTTTTAATCTTCATTAGTTTTATGCTTAGTTATATAACCTGATTTAAGGATGAAATTAGGACAAAATGTAATAACTATATTCTTGACTTATTAGAACTCAAGTCCAAAATTTAGTTTAAATTCAACCCAACTAACTTTAGTATTTAAAGAAAAGGTTGCTAGAGAATTTTTTTTTTTTTTCTCTCGATTATAACTTTCTCTTAAAATATCAAAAAAATCAATTATAAATTTAAATTTTGGTTCAAGGAAGGTTGGAGAAACAAGTATCTCCCTTTACTATTATTTTTCATTAAAACCTTAATTGTGGAAGGCTTAAAGTAGATTTTAGAGTTTTTAGTTTGATTTGATGATGAAATGATTTAAGGATTTTAATTGATGTTTTAAAGTGTTAGTCTTGCTTAAACTTGGTTTGAAGTGTTGTCTAGATTATAGGTTTTTGAAGAAAAAATTGCTTATTTTAAGGATCTACTAATTTGAAGATTGGCAAATCAAAATTCTAGAAATCCTTATCAAATAGTCAATTGGTTAGGTTGAACTACTGGTTGATTGTTATTGGTTAGTCTAAACCAACCAACTGGTTGACATGTGATAGTGGTCAATTAGTTAGTCATTTCGGTAAGCCGATTAACCTGACAATAGAGATTTATTGGGTTTGTTAGATTCAATTGGTTTAAGTTATATCTGAGATCAATTAGGTGAAATAGTTCGACTTTATATTTACATTATAGTCTCTAAGTTTAGAGTTTTTAATTTTTTATGATACATTACTTCGAGTTATATTTGAGTGTTTCTTGTATTTATTAGTGGTTTTGTTGACATTCCTCCTAATGATTTTTAGTTGTCTTTGGTTTTGTATCTTCTTTTTTTGTTTTTGTTTTCTAGACGAGTGAGATAATTTTTAATATGTATGTAATATTAATAAATATGTATGTTGAATATATGATGAGTACAATTAGTTAATTTCTTGAATATTTAAATATGTTACCTTATTTTCTTAG